AGATAAATTGATCTTTATTAGCTTGAAGACGTTAATCTAAAGAGTCTAGCCTAAAGATATGTGACCATTTAAAAAGTCGATCATTTCTTTTTCAAGCCTTTCTTACCTAAGGAAGGCTTCCGGATTAGAGTTCACTCTGAACCAATGAAATGAAGCAATGGTTGCCGTGGGGTACTCACCAACATCTATTTGATTTCACTTCCTATCTTGGTAAAATACCACAAAAACACATTCATCAGAATACATAAATAAACACCCAGTAATTTCTATGCTTAGGCTCTTTATATATCACTATATATTGAAGGATTTTGTTAGGAAATTATTGATTCTGAAACTGTTTTTTGTTGTTGTTCATTAAAAAACTAGCCCCGCTGGGTGCAGTGGCTCATGCCTGTAATCCCAGCACTTTGGGAGGCCGAGGCGGGTGCATCATTTGAGGTCAGGAGTTCAAGATCAGCCTGGCCAACATGGAGAAACCCCGCTTCTACTAAGAATACAAAAATTAGCTGGGTGGTAGTGGTGCACGCCTGTAATCCCAGCTACTTGGGAGGCTGAAGCAGGAAGGCAGCAGTTGCGGTGAGCTGAGATCACGCCACTGCACTCCAGTCTGGGCAACAGAGTGAGACCCTGTCTCAAAAACAAAAACAAAACAAAACAAAACAAAAACAAACTCCAAAAAACTAGCGTGGTTAGTGGAAATCTTGTTACGATTCCCAGGAATTATTCTTGAGGCTCTACCAAGTCTATGGATCAAAGAGTGAATGGACTCTATCCACATTTTAATTAATGTCTATAGAGAGATACTACAACAAATGTGAGAGAATTCATGACCACAATTATTTGTTTATAGACTTTGTAAATCTTCCAGTTCCAGATTTTAGCAGCGCATAATACCATTACAGTTAGAGTAAAGAGGCAGACATGTGATTTTTATTATTTTATCATTCCCGTATGAATATAGTTGGACTAGTCTGTGTTAATAGAATATATGCTTCATATTTTAAAATCATTACATATATAGTGATAGAGATGGCATTGATTCAGTCATACTCTCTTTGAGGTTTGCCAAATTTCAGGAAAATGATTTGTCAGAGTTAGCAGGAAAGTCTATGGAAATTGAAGAAAATAGTAATACAGGTCTACAGCAGGATAAAACTTACAGCCTTGGCATCATGAATAAATGTTGTAAGGTAAAAATAAATAAATACATTCTACTACTTTTGTAAACCAAACTCAACTACACAGAGGAGGTAAACAAGGCAACCTATTAATTTACTAAACAGTTCCCTGAAAACTCTACTGTCTACCACCTGTTAATTTTTCATTTCTCTCTGAATCCAACTCCTAAAGTAGAATTGGGGAGGACAGGCTAGTGGAATGTATTTGAGCTCAGGATCTACCATTTGATTTCCTCACTGCCACCTACTGTTCCACAGTTTTCCAGATAATGCCACGGTTGGCTGTCCTTCCTTTATTCCAGAAGCAGAGGGAAAGGAACTCCAGGGCACACTTTCAGTGAAACACCAAAAATAAAAGAAAGACAAGTCGAGTTACTAGTTATTCCTCAAATCAGGTAACACACAATTTTATTTAATGCAGAAGCTTTTCTCCTGAGTTACACTTATGGCTAATTTCTGTGCCAATAGGCCATTCTTCATGTGAGAATACTGACATAATACTGACATATCAATAGGGAGTTGCTACCTAAGACCAATAAGAAGATAGTGCACCACTACTTAGATCAGTTCACTGAAGTCTTCTGAATCAGATGAATTACTTCTCTGGTTGCTGAAGGAACGTGATGGCTGTCTCATAGTCACTAGAATTTTGAGGACAGGTATGGAACAAAACCAGAATACAGGACCCCACCAAGTGATAAGCCATTCTTCCAAAAAGGGAGAAAAGAGAAAGTTGGACATGGATCTTCAGCCCAATTTCAGAGTATGAAACAAGTTTATTAGCACTGAGGAGCTCCACTAACCGCCTTAACTTAAATGTCTTTTTTGATGTGTTTTCTAATTTGGTAGATCAGGTGACCACGTGAATGGGATCTCTAAAAGTATCTAAGAGATTGCCCACAGTATTCTTGAGGGCAAGATTATCAAAGACAGATGAGATGAAGACTGAACATCCACAGTCAACTCACTAAAGGCCATGGAAGCAGCTCTCCTCTGCACCATCACTAGGTTCTTTCAGATTGGTGAAATGAATACCCAAAAGTTACTTTTAATAGTTTCAAGTTTTCAATGGTCACAACAATAGAAATAATAGGAGAATACTACAGATAACAGAATATAGACGCAAAATTATCTGAAACGGGTGGATAAATTTGTTGGGAGCAGCAAAAGTAAACGGAAATAACTGTTAAATGTCCTGTATTTAATCTCCTTCCTAAAGTTTCACGATGAGCCATCAGATTGTTGCCCCAGGCAGATGGTCTATGTTAAGGAGTCTGGAATCCTAGTTACCAGTGCAATGGCAAGGAAAGCATGGCCTGGACAGGAGGGCCGAAGCCTGGCACTCCAAAATGCACGTAAAAACACACAGTTTTCCAACAAAAGAATGGGGCAACACCTCTTTCTACTAAATATAATCCAAGCAACGAACAAAACATAATTTGTTGGAGACGCTGCCAAAAAGATTTATGTACTTTGCAGCCCAAGAGACTCTAAGTTCCCTTCTAAGTCTAAAAGTTACAATTCTTTTTAAAATATCAGATCAAATAAAAATATCACCCAGGTATTAAGGAGACAAAAGATGAAAAATATTTATGTCAAATATTTCCTAAAGCAGAAGTTGCCATCTTTGCAGTGTTCTGGCATTTTGTCACTGGTTTAGCAATTTTCTACACTCAAGTCTCTCGGTGGTATCAGTGTATATCTATTTAAGAAGAAAATTTTTACTTCCTAATAAACATAATATGTATGCTTATTTTTAAATAAATCATATGAAAACTGAAGTTTCCCAAATATATGTAGATTGAAAACACCTTTGGAGACGCAAGGGGCAAAGCTGAACTAGGCAGTTTGTGAAAATCCCTGAATGGGGGGCGCCAAGGGCATCTGTTTCTCTCTCCACATCGACCCCGACGTCGTGTCTCCGACTCTGGAAGCGAAAAGGGAGCGGACAGCAAGCAAGGCCCATCCGCAGGGAGGCCTTCCGAGCCAGGGGGAGCCCGCCTAGGGCTGGGCATGCTAAGGGAGCTAACAACGAACACAGGTGTTTCCAGAAATCATTTTTGCAAGATTTTTCCGGGAGAAAATAATCATAATTTCTTCTTCAATGTCTTATTTTGGAAGCGTCTTAAAAGGCACACTCGCCAAAGACAAAGACGGAACACCTTAAAGCGCACAGATGAGCGCTTTCAACTCGCGAGAAGGCTACTTTTTGACATTTCTTTGTGGTAACTATCAACTCCTGCGAAGTTAGCTGCAAGCAGTCGTGCAAAAAGCAACCTCGGGTATCAGTGATCACTGGACGAACGCCGCCCTTTCTAGGCTCACTCCACCGAAGAGCCAGACGAGCAGTTCATGGGGTGGCCGGGTGGGCGCCCAGCATTGCGGAAACCCCCCCCCCGCGAGAAAGCGGACGCCCTGGGGCTGCACTTCAGCACTGGCGGCCCGAGTCAGGTCCCGCTCACTCCGGCTTCGGGGGCGGCCGGGCCCGGGCGGCTGAAGCTGTCGCTCCAGGGGGCGCGGGGCCGCAGGTGACAGCCCAGACGTGGCGCAGGGCGCAAGCACACGCCTCCCGGGCCCGAAGAGCGCGCCCATCCCGCCCCACGTCGCCACCGCCGGCGGTGCCCCTGCGACACCCGAAAGATGTGCTACCTTTAAAGGGTTTCCGCGCGTGCTCGGCGTTCGCGGGCCGGGCCAAGGCGCTGGAGTTCGGGCGTCCGGTCGGCGCCGTGACGGGCTGGAAGGAGGCCGGCTCCGCGCACTGGGGGCACAGAAGCGCCTAGGCGCCGGGGTGCGCGCAAACCGCAGCGGCCCACGTCTCCGCCCCGCCTGGCCCCGCCTCGCGCCCTCTCCTCAGAGGCCGCCTCCCACTGCAGGCCGCTGCGCGGAGCTGGCGCCCACCTGGCGCAGCTCCGAGTCACGCACGGCGATCTGAGCCCCCAGCCCCTCCTCCCACGGGGGCTGCGGTTCCGGGAGCGCCCCTTAGGTAGCAAGTGAGAGGCTTCCTGCCTGCTGGTCTTCAGCTAATTCCCCGTGGCCACCTGCCTGTGACTCCAACGCTTGTGGTTTCTGGGACTTACTGCCGCTGAAGCGCACCCCTTTATCAATGCACAATTGCAGGTGACCCTCGAGCAATGGGAAGAGAGGTTAGGGGCGCCAAACCCTGCACAGTCGATGGGGGTATAACTTTTCACTTCCCCAAAACTTAACAATTAATAGCCTACTGTTGACTGAAGCCTTACCAAGAACATAAACTTTGGATGAACACGTATGCTGTATGTTATATGTGTTATGTACTGTGTAATATAGTATCTGCAGTATGGAAATCCATGTGTAAGTGGATCCATGCAGTTCAAACCCGTGTTGTTCAAGGGTCAACTGTCATTGAAGGGAACCTTCTAAGTATCAAGTGATAACAGCTCAGTGTGAAATGTGTGTATATCACCTCTCCTTGTTCGTGCTATACAACTCAGCCCCCAGGTATGATCACTCAGTAGTGCAGTGTGTAAACTACCAGACCAATACGCAAACAAGTGTGTAGTGATAGATAAGGATTTTATTTTTTCTTGTTCACGTTTTAAAATCTGAGATCAAGCTATACGTAACTTTCGGAAACTTACTCTTTTGCCTACTGTCAAGGATACAGTTCATATTGATACACAGATTCTTTCATACTTTTTTTCCAAATAGCTTTATTGAAATATAATTGACAAACTCCACATACTTGCAGTGTAATTTGGTAAGTTGTGACACCGTTGAAACTACCA